GACCCCAAAAATTGGAAAATAGAGATGTCAGTCCTAATTCCACTCTAGTCTTCTTTATATGTATGTTTTGATAAGGTAGCTATCTCTGTGTAAAAGAAATTTAACTTTTATTCACTTAATAATGTATCTTAAACCATTTGTCATTGTTGCTGTATAATCTTCACCAAATCATTTTTGATAGCCACAGAATTATGAGGAGAGCTCTCCTAAACAAACGTATAAGAACTGTTAGGTAATAATGTCAAGGTGAGGGGTTCTGCGTTGCCACTTGTGCCTCTGTGGATCTCTAAAAGAAAGTGTAGGACTTGCCGGGTGTAGTGGCTCACGCCTGTAATCCCAGCACTTTGGGAGGCCAATGCAGGAGGATCACCTGAGGTCAGGAGTTTGAGACCAGCCTGGCCAACATGGTGAAACCCCATCTCTACTAAAAAACACAAAAATTAGCCAGGCGTGGTGGCGTGTGCCTGTAATCCCAGCTACTTGGGAGGCTGAGGCAGAAGAATTGCGTGAACTCAGGAGGCAAAGGTTGCAGTGAGCCGAGATCATGCCATTGCACTCCAACCTGGGTGACAAGAGTGAAACTCTGTCTCAAAAAAAAAAAAAAGGGTAGGACTTGATTACATATCATCGTAGAGCAAATACTGAAAAAGTTCTCTTATGTGCAAGGCCCTGTGGTAGGCACTAGGATATAAATGTGAGGAAACTATTCTATATCCTCACAGAACTTGAAGTTAAATGGGGAGTCAGAAGCAAATAAGTAAGTACAGTAAGGAGAAAACACAGAGGAGGAGAGGATAGTCTGGAAAGGTTTCATGGCAGTGATACCCCTTGAAGGAAGAGTAAGTGTTTGCCTGTCAGGGCACAGGGCATAGTGGTATATTAAGGGAAGTACATGTAATTCAGTATTTCGGGGGATAAGGTCACAGATCTTTATGTATTGACATTGAGTAGTATATAAGACATGTTATTAAGTGCAAAAAGCAAGATGAAAAATATGATGATACAGTTTCACTTATGGAAGAAGCAAAGCCATATTGGTGTCCATATATATGTGTATATAAACACATAACATTTATGAAAGAACATCTACCAAATTGGTAACATTATTCACCTCTGGAGAGGGGAGTGGATGCAGAGGTAGAGATATTGAGGGGGACTCTAAGTATGGTTTGTGTTTTTTAGAAGATTGTTTTCAATTATGTGTTATTAAACATAATAGGGGATAATAAATAAATAATAGAATATTAATAATAAATAAATAATGGAACATTCATACAATGGAATGTTATTCAACCACATAGATATCATTCTCCGAGTCAGTGATTTGCAAACATTCTTTAGACTTGGCATCTCTCACTCCCGCCCCCAGAACCCTTTCTTTTTTTTATTTTGTTGAGACCGAATCTCGTTCTGTTGCCCAGGCTGGAGTGCAGTGGTGTGATCTCAGTTCACTGCAACCTCTGCTATCTGGGTTCAAGGAGTTTTCATGCCTCAGTCTCCTATGTAGCTGGGACTATAGGTGCATGCCACCATACCCGGCTAATTTTTTTGTATTTTTAGTAGAGACGGGATTTCACCATGTTGGCCAGGGCTTGTCTCGAATTCCTTATCTCAAGTGATCCGCCTGCCTCGGCCTCCCAAAGTGCTGGGAATACGGATATGAGCCACCGTGCCTGGCCGGGAACCCTTCTTTCAAATAGTTATATAAAATTCAGCTTTTTGGAAAAAGGAGAGCCATTTGGTTTTTAAGTTAGGCTGGAGGACCTGAAGACCTCAACTCTTGTGTTTATGTACATGCATGCTGCAAATAAAGAGGCCTAGAATGCTGTATAGATCCTGGAGTGTTAACAATCACAATCTAGCCAGGTGTGGTGGCACACACCTGTAGTCCAGCTACTCAGGAGGCTGAGGTTAGAAGATCACTTGAGCCCAGGAGTTCAAGGCTGCAGTGAGCTATGATCACACCACTGTACTCCAGCCTGGGCAACAGAGGAGACCCTGTCTCAAAATATAAATAAATAATTTTTAAAATAAAAGCAGGGGCTGGGCGAGGTGGCTCATGCGTGTAATCCTAGCACTTTGGGAGACCGAGACGAGAGGATCACGAGGTCAGGAGATCGAGACCGTCCTGGCTAACACAGTGAAACCCCGTCTCTACTAAAAATACAAAAAAAAGTTAGCCAGGCGTGGTGGCGGGCACATAGTCCCAGCTACTTGGGAGGCTGAGGCAGGAGAATGGAGTGTGAACCCGGGAGGCGGAGCTTGCAGTGAGCCGAGATTGCACCACTGCACTCCAGCCTGGGCACAGAGCGAGACTCTGTCTCAAATAAATAAATAAAAGCAAAAAAAAATCACAATCTATGAGAGATAACATTATACATGTTTTACAGTATTTTACTTGTAGAGAATACTCAACACTAGGGCTGTATGGTGGGACACTCTCATACGTTGATGATGATGGTAGTATAACTCGAGACATCTGTTTTGGAAAGAGATTTAGTATCATGTGTCAAGAGTTTGTGAAAATGATCACACCCTTTGACCTAGTAACTACACTTCTAAAAATTTGCCCTATGAAATAACCCAGAAGATCTACATAAAAATATGCCTATGTGAGAGTGTTATGTATAATTAGAAACTGAAAATGACTTTAGTATCTTCCATTCTGAAATTTGATGAAATATTATGATGGTCTTAAAATTATATTCAAGGAGACTTTTAAATAACTTTGGAAAAGGCTTGACTTCTGTTGCCATAGATTAGTTTTGCCTTTACCTGAACTTTTTGTTTGTTTGTTGAGACAGTCTCGCTCTGTTGCCTAGGCTGGAGTGCAGTGGCATGATCTCAGCTGACTGCAACGTCCTGAGTTCAAGTGATTCTTTTGCCTCAGCCTCCCGAGTAGCTGGGACTACAGGCCTGCGCCACTACGCCCAGCTAATTTTTGTATTTTTAGTAGAGACAGGGTTTCACCATGTTGGCTGGGCTGGTCTCGAACTCCTGGCCTCAGGTGAGCCCCACCTTGGCCTCCCAAAGTGCCAAGATTACAGGTGTGAGCCACTGCGCCTGGCCCTCCTTTACCTGAACTTCATATGTACTCTTTTTTTTTTTTTTTTTTTTTTGAGGCAGGGTCTCACTCTGTTGCCCAGGCTGGAGTGCAGTGGCACAATTTCGACTCACTGCAGCCTTGACCTCCCAGACTCAAGCGATCCTCCCATTTCAGCCCCCTGAGTGCCTGGGACTGCAGGCACACGCCACCACACCCAGCTAATTTTTGTATTTTTTGCAGAGACGGGATTTTACCGTGTTACTTGGGCTGGTCTGAATTGCTGAGCAGAAGTGATCTGCCTGCCTCAGTCTCACAAAGTGCTGGGATTACAGGTGTGAGCCACCAGGCCCAGTTTATGTGTACTCTTTTATGTCTCCCTTCTTCACTCAGTATAATATCTTTGAGACTTACACATATTATCGTGTATATCAATACTTTGTTCTTTTTTATTACTGTATAGTAATCCATTGTATGAATATACCACAATTTGTTTATTCTTCCATTGATATATATTTGAGTTGTTTCCAGTTTGGGGCTATTATGAATAAAGTAGTTGTTAACATTCTTGTTCATGTCTTTCGGTGGATATATGTACTCATTTCTCTTGGGTAAATACTTAGAAGAAGTGGGATTGCTGTATCATATGGAAAGTGTAATTTAATTTTATAAGAAACTGCCAAATTGTTTTCCAAACTGTACCAATGTACACTCCCACCATCAATGTACTGGAGTTCAGTTACTTCATATCCTTGCCAGTGCTTGATATTGATAGTCTTTTATTTTAGCCATTTTGGTGGATATGTAGTGGTGTCATATTGTGGTTTTATATATGTTTAAGTGCCTTTGGTTTTAATGTTCATACCTTTTGAACCAATAATTTCATTTTTAGGATATTTTCTTAAGAGCATAATCTGAAATCCAGAAAAAAATTTATATAGACAATATATACTCTTTGCTGTATAACTTATAAAAGCCAAATGTGAAAAATTACCTAAGTGTTGTTTATTAGGGAAGAGGTTACATAATTTATGACACATTCATAATGACAAAATATGCAGCCATTCAAAATTACTTACATTAGAGTATTATAATAAAAGCAAGATACAAAATTGTACATAAAGCATACTGTCAACTATAGAAAAATATGTATATTAAAATAGACCAGCTCTACATCAACAAAACAAAGTATATAAAATAATACTGTAAGCCAGGCACAGTGGTTCATGCCTATTATCCCAGCACTTTGGGAAGCTGAGGCGGGAGGATTGTTTGAGGCTAGGAGTTTGAAACCAGCCTGAGCAAAAATAAAAAAATTGGCTGGGCACGGTGGCATACGCCTGTAATCCCAGCACTTTGGGAGGCCGAGGCGGGTGGATCACCTGAGGTCAGGAGTTCGAGACCAACCTGGCCATCATGGTGAAACCTTGTCTCTACTAAAAATACAAAAGTTAGCTGGGCGTGGTGGCACACACCTGTAATCCCAGCTACTCGGGAGGGTGAGGCAGGAGAATTGGTTGAACCCAGGAGGTGGAGGTTGTAGTGAGCCAAGATCGCACCACTGAACTGAGTGACAGACTCAGTCTCAAATAATAATAATAATAATAATAGTAGTAAAATAATAAAATTAAAACGTACTGTAAGGAAAGACACCAAAATATATTTGGATGGTGGTACTATGTGATTTTTTCCCCCTTATCCCATTGTATTTTTTTGTAATGATCATGTAATCATTTTAGAATAGCACAAAATATAAGTAAGCTTTAAGTATTCCATATTTTATGTTTCATAATGCTTTCTCCCTGCCTAATCTTTCTGCAAAGTGAAAATTTGCTGTCTTAGGTTTCTTTAAATATTTGATTTCTGATAATTATTTTGATTCCCAAATTATAAATTGTATTAAAAAAACACTCTTATGTTGTTTTTTCTTCTGAAAATCTGATGTTCCAACATCCAGTCCAGGACAGAAGATAAAATAGAGCGATTCAAGAAAGCAGTTGAGTACTATTCCGTCACAACCAAACTCTCTTCACTGCCAGTGGGTCCCTCCTTTCTAGGTAAGGCTTCCATCTGACCTGAAGCTGCTCTGTTCATAGGGGAAACTGAATTGGTCCCTCACGAACTCCAGGACCAGAGTTGAATCACTCGTTCGTGTTGTATTCTCCTACAAGTCATTCGTCATCCCTTTTTGGTAGGCTTTCTCCTTTTGATTTCTATGTCGTAAGAGACGTAACATAAGAAGGGCCCTGGCCAGGTGCAGTGGCTCACGCCTGTAGTCCCAGCATTTTGGGAAGCCGAGGCAGGTGGATCACCTGAGGTCAGGAGTTCACAACCAGCCTGACCAACATGGTGAAATCCCATCTCTATGAAAAATACAAAAAATTAACTGGGTATCATGGCAGGCGCCTGTAATCCTACCTACTCAGGAAGGTGAGGCAGGAGAATCGCTTGAACCCGGGAGGCGGAGGTTGCAGTGAGCCGAGATCGTGCCATTGTACTCCAGCATGGACAACAAGAGTGAAATTCCACCTCAAAAAAAAAAAAAGCCCTGCTTTCTCAAATTTACAGATGGGGTGCAATGCCATTTCCTTAGCTTGGGCTTCTTCTGATGCCAACCCCCATTCTGGCCTGGTACATGTAAAATAGCCCTGTCTTTGGGGTCTGGCCTGAGCTGGAATTCCGCTCTGCTAATTACCAGCAAGTGAACCTTGGCAAGTCACATTTGTATGAAATGTGGCTCATGATACCTACTTTATAAGATTCTTATCAGATGAAATAATTTATGTAAGGTTCCCAGCATGGCACATAGTAGCTGTTCAATAAATTGTAACTTATTTATTAATAACACTTTTTCAGGTGATATGGGGTGAGCAGAATTATAACACAGTAAAATTATTAGGGATTGACTGAAGTATCGGCTCTTCT